TCTCCATGGTTCCAAGTCACAGATTATGGACAGCTGTTAGTCAAGTCTCCAGAGATTCAAGTCGGAATAAAGAAGTTCAAGTTTAATCAAGTCAATCATCACGCAAGTGGTATAAATATAGACCTTTCTAATATACAGTGTGTCCCCTTTATCAGAGGTGAGAATCACGTGCAGTCAAACCCAAAGCCCTGAATGAACCTGTGAACACGTCCTCTGTGTCTCCTGTAAATCACACTGAGCAGTTGCTGTCCGGCACATGTAATGTTTGACTGGAAGTTTGGACATGAAGTGCACTGTTACACATTCAAGTCTCCACTGAGTCAAAGATTATCAACTAATTCATTCAGTAGCTTTTTATATGTCACCAGCCTCTGAGGAATGATTGTCCTGCTGATTAATACGGACTACAATCATAAAAAAACAACATTTGTAGCTGCTGTTCTGATTGCTTTTTTAAACCTATTTGTGTGTTTCTGCCACGTCTCACTTCCTTTTTAATTCCCCTCAGTTGGTCTCATGTTTGTTTTTTTTCCTCCACCTTTTCCCCCTCAGGCTCTTGTGAAGTTTTGATTAATGTTTCACGGTCAACTAAACTACAACAAACCCTTAACCACAGAACATTAGGTTTTTAATGCAGCCTTTCATTTCATACCGCATGATACAGGACTTCTGGTGGGCTTCATTATACATTAAAGGGTCAACCTTTCATTTCTGAAGTACATTCCATTATTTGTGCATCTTCACACCTTACTGAAAACAACAGCTAAACAACACTGAGCTCTAAAATCCCTGCAGTCAGCCTCATTTCCCTTTTTGCTGAAAAACAAACGGCAGTCGTCTGGGGCTATTTATATATAAGGTCAGAGGTCAGCCTGAGCCTTTTACACTAGGTCTCTCGACTCATTTGATGATCTTCTGACATAAGCTCGGATCCTAAGCTCATTACACACATTTTTTATGAGATTTAGATAAGGGCTTTGTTTAGGACTAACATCACCTTTGGTCTCCTGGAGATAATTTTACAGCTGTACCACCTCAGGATTTCTCCTTAGAACCTTCTCCTTATTTTTTTTTTCTACTCTTTGGGCTCTTCAGTTATGAATTCACTCAACAGAAACATATTCCCACCTGTATGTTCTTTCGCTTCTACAGCACTTACATGATTTTACATGATTATGGCAATTTGGTCCCATCACCAAAATTAAAAACTGTGACGAAGTCACGGCCCAAACTTAATATTTCTTGAAAAATCGATGGCATTGTTCATGTTTTCCCTTCTTTCCAGATCTGTAATGTAGAATGTTTTCCATATGTTAACAAACTTTAGTTTTGCGTAAACATTAAATCAGGAACAACCAAAGCTTAATATTGTAAAAACATGACAAATTCAATTTGAAATAAGACACACATGAGTGGTATTTGTTTCTTACTGACTCTTTATCTGCAGCCTTTCAAATTCTTTTTAATGTATATCTTTTTTTCACAGGCCAACAACAAAAAACAAAACAAAATGTATGTGCTATAACATAGCACATAAACCGCTAATACTAAAATTCCTGCCAGTATACAGGGGAAGGCCAACAAAAAAAACAAAAACAAAATGTAACGGGTCAAATATAATTACACCGCAGCCCAGATTTGGCCCCCGGGCCTGAGTTTGACCCGTGCACTATAGATACTGTAATGAAATGGCTGTCATTTCACAGAGGCACTGATTTCAGAAACATTTCACTTTGATTTTTTTCCCATAGATGTATATGCACAGGAAAGAAGGCAACACTTTATAAAAATAATTAATTTTAGGTAAATAATTTACTTTCTTTAGCCCCAACATAAGGTACCAATTAAGTTAAAGTCAGCCAAACTAAAAATAAAACTTGTAACGAACGTTGAACTCTGCTGCCATCTCCTGGCAGACAGAGAAACATACATGCTGTTTTTTTTTCCTTTACACCCACCTCTCTCTCTCTCTCTTTCTCTTTTTAATTGGCATTTTCAGCCTAAGGCTGAATCTTAAAGTGATTTCCCAAAATTGCCATTTTCAGCCTGAGGCTGAATCTTAAAGTGATTTCCCAAATGTCCGACACTCGCCACAGAAAGAGGAGCAATTCAAAACCAAAAACAATGAGAAAGTCAATAGGTGCTAATTAAAAAATGTCACTCTTATCTCACTATTACAAACCCAAAGAATTAGCAGGTGGGTGATTTAATAAAATAAAATGGAATCCAAGGGGAGAGAGACAGAAACATTCACTTTTGAAGATCTCTCTGTATCTGATAAAAAAAATTAATTACAACGTCAATATTCCACTGTGGCCTGGAAAAAAAAAATCCAACTTCCAAACATTTAGAGCATTAGAATTCCTCCTACATGCTTGTATGTGAGAAATAATGATTTTTCTCTTTACTTGAGGCAAACCAGCAATCTTCCTCACATGCAGAGTTAAAAAAGAAAAACACCCTAGAGCCACTAACACTATGAGTAAGACTAAACTCACTCATTTCCACACATGACTTTTCACATCTACATTCAGCAAAAAGGCTTCAAATGAATATGTGTATGAGAAACACAAGGTGGATATTATTAACTA